TTCTAGTTCTTTGAGAAATTTGATACATATCGATAAACTTAGGAGTAAGCTTCTTTGATTTCGACGCACGCCCAACACCAGTCTCATGATTGACTCTTAGGAACACATGATCACCTTATTTAAGTTCCAGATATTTCCTCCTCTTATCATGGTAACTTTTTTGCCTACTTTGTGATGCTTTCATTTTATCTTAGATCAACTTCACCTTCTCAATAGTCTGCTAGACAATTTTCGGTCCAAGTACAACACTTTCACCAGATTCATACCAACATAGAGGGTTCCTACACCTCCTACTGTACAATGCTTCAAACGAAGCCCTTCTAATGCTAGAATAAAAACTTTTATTATTAGTGAACTCGATCAATGACAAATGACTATCCCAAGCACCTTCTTGTTCGAGTACACAAGCCCTCAACAAGTCCTCTAATGACTAAATAGTTCTTTTTGTCTGACCATTAGTCTGCGGATGATAAGTAGAACTCAACCTCAACTTAGTACCCAAGGTTTCCTGCAAACTTCCCCAAAATCTGGATTTAAATCGTGGGTCTCTATCGGAAACTTCACGATTACCCTGATATAAATCTCAATCAACTTCCTGTAACATAAAAATGATATTAATCTAAATAAAATGGGCTGATTTTATCAGTCTATCAAAAATCACCCATATCACATCAAACCCTCTTGGAGTACTTGGTAACCTGGTCACAGAGTCTATCAAAATACTATCTCACTTCCCCTATGAAATATCCAATGGCTGCATTAAACCTGAAGGTTTCTGGTGCTCTACCTTTGACTTTTGGCAAGTCAAACATGCATACACAAACTGTGCCACATCTCGCTTCATTCCTTGCCACCAAAATATTTTATTGAGGTTTTGATACATTTTAGTAGCCCCAGGATGAATACTTAAATTGCTTCTATAACTTTCCTCTAAAATCATCCACTTCAACTCGGAACTAGCAGGCGCACATACTCTACCTTGAAACCTTAACACTCCATGCTCATCCACTTTAAAGTCACTTTCTTCGTTTGGGTTCACTGAAGACAATAAATCTACCAGCTTCACATATAGCTTTTGATTCTCCCTAATTTCCTAAGGAATTCATTATTCATCTTCATCATGCCCAACATCACACTTTCTGGTATCAACACACCACCCAACATCACACTTCCTAATTTCCTAGGATAATTCCTCTCATGTACCCTCAATTGTCGTGAAGCATAAGCCACCACTTTACCGTCTTGCATCAACACACTACCTAAACCCATTTTAGAAGCGTCACAGTAGACTACAAATAGTTCATGCGGATATGGAAAAATCAAAACTGGAGTTGAAGTCAACTTCTTCTTTAACTCTCTGAAGCTCTCTTCACAATAAATATCCCACACATATGCCGGACCCTTTCGAGTCAACTAAGTTAACGAAAGGGCTAAATTTTAGAACCCTTTCGATAAACCCATGATAATAACCTGCCAACCCCAGGACATTTTTGATCTCTATAATCGGTTTAGGAGCCTCCCATTGTAGCACTGCGTCTACTTTGGTTGGATCCGCTGTAATGTTGTTACCATAAATAACATGCCTGAGGAAACTCGTCTCTTGCAACAAGAATTCACACTCTGATAACTTCACAAACAACTTATTCTCTTTTAACACTTGTAATATAATCCTTAAATGCTCTATATGTTCTTCATTAGATTTAGAATAAATGAGAATATCGTCAATAAAAACTACGACAAAATGATCAAGATAAGGATGAAAAATGCAATTCATATACTCCATAAACACACCAAATGATTCGACACTCCAAAAGGCATCACTGAATATTCGTAATGATTATATCAAGTTCTAAACGTCATCTTCTAAATATCTTCATCCTTAACTCAGATATGATGGTAACCTGACCTCAAATAAATTTTACTAAACACACAAGTTCCTACCAGCTGGTCCATTTAATAGTCGGTTCTCGGAAGTGGATACTTTTTCTTAATCGTAACTTTATTCAACTGCCAATAATCAACACACAGTCGCATACTACCATCCTTCTTCTTTACCAACAACACTGGAGCTCCCCAAGTGACACACTTGGTCTGGTAAATTTCTTTTCAAGTATCCCAACTAATTCTTTAATTCTTCTAACTCTGATGCTGACATTCTGTATGGTGCCATAGAAACAGGCATAGTATCAGGAACAAGATCAATAACAAACTCCACCTCTTTCTGGCGGTAAATATGAAATATCATCTGGAAACACCTCTGGAAATTCACATACCACTGGTAACCCTTTAATTATTGTTTGACTCTAAACAGACAAGGAAGCAAACATTTCAAACACTTTAGCTTTATGTTTCAACAACTCTTCCAATTGACTAGCACATATGAAACTAGCTTCTTCTTCATCACCAGGAGCAAGAAATCATATTGATTTATTGTAGCAATTGATATGAACATGATCGAATTCAAACTAGTTCATCCCCATAATGAACGATCACTTAGTGGGAGACAACTTAAGTCCACACCAAAGTCTCTACCATATATTTACAGAGGATAATCAAGCAGATTAAATAAGTAGTCACTGACCCATTAGTTGAAGTATTAATAACTAGTCCACTACTCAAAGTAGACACTAAAAGACCCAATCTTTTCACACAGTTAGTAGAAATAAACAAGTGTGTCACACCCGTGTCAATAATGGTAATCAAAGGAATGTTGTGAATGTAACATGTACTTTGAATCAACGTGTCGGAACTGGTAGTCTGAGTTCCTACCAGTGCAAACACTTTCCCTCAAGATTGAAATTTCTTTGGCTTTTCACAGTTGGTGCTGATGCAACCAGGTTCCCCACAGTTGTAACAAGTTGGCACATTAGTCTTACAATCAGCAATAAGGTGTCCTGGTTTCCCACACTTGAAGCACTTCTTTTCATCACTCTTGCATTCATTGATATGATATCCTGCATTACCACACATGTAGCATTTTATAGGAGAGAGAGTCCCTCCCTCACTTGGCTTCTTCCCCTCTGAAATCTTATGTTTTCCTTTGTCAGCTGGAGCACTATACAATTTTCCATGATTCAGCCGCTTTCCCCTCTTCTCACTCACACTTTTATAATAAGTAGACCAAGCTCTACTGTCCTTATCATAAATCCTGCATTTGTTCATAAATTCTAGAAACTGGTGAATTTCTTGATAATGTATTCCAGATATCACATTAAATTTCTATGTGTCATCCGCCATACGATATTCGCACAAGTTAAACTGACACTCACATTTCTTCAATTTAGTGTCATCTCGTTTCAACTTCCTAATCTGTGGTTGGTACGTGCCACTTCTTTTGCATCTCATTGTTACAAATGTTTATCTTTAATCCGAACCATTGTAGGACCTTCCGATTATAACACGAAACCCTAAATTTTTGGCCTCCCTATGAACCCATTGTAGCATATATTCACGAACAATAAACACTTCTTTATTTGTAAATTGTGCACGAACATCTACCTCGACAATAATCGGTCGAGCACCCGATTTAACATCATCATTCACTTCATCAGGTTTAACATCATCGTTCACTTCATCCCGTTTAACACTATGCTTCACTTTGATCAGTTTAATGTCCACACTCACAATAACTTTGGAAAACATACCCGGATGCACAATATCTAATACCACTAACAACAGAAAAATAGTGTTAAAACTCAAACTACCAGGACAATCCAGATATGCACATCTAGAACACACCAAACTTTGTTCGGAGATGCATATCGGATTTAACATTCATTTTTTCAACACAAATATCAGATTAATGCAATGAATGAGGAATGAAATGAAGAAACTTTCCCTACAATTCCAACTTGTTTTGCTCCCTTTAAAGTGATGAAATACAAAGATGATGTTTTGGTGTTGAAAAGTTGATTGAGAATGAAAGAATTTTTTTAAGGGTTTTAAAAATGGAATGTTGTTTAAGTGTGGAGGAGAATATCATGCAAGGTGGTGTTTTATCCAATTTTCCGCTAGACATTTCCGGATATGCATCTCCAAAAATATCACTGAGTCGTTACTTTAACCCGCGCAGTGAATAAAAACACAATAAATGAGTGCATGGATATTTTAGAGATGCATCTTCTGATACACTCAAATAATATACGGAGATGTATCTCCGAATCATATTTTTTTACAAGATTGTGTGGATCTCAGAAAAGCGAAGTTTAGTATGATTTTGGGTGCGTTCGGATATGCATCTCCGATCTTATGAAAAACATTTTCGAGTTTTCAAAGGTATGGAAAGATCACCTTTTACTTTTAAATTGGGAAAACCCAAACCCAAATTCAATAAAGTGGAGTTTCTCCATTAAATTTGAGTTTGATTCAGATGAATATTCACAACTTATGTTTCTATCACAAATAGATACCCATCATTTTCTTAATAGTTTTTTTATTTCATTTTGGTTTCTATGCAAGGTTAAAACTATGCATTTATACGGTGTAAATGACATAGTGTAGGAAAAGAGTGTCACGATAGCATAACTCTTTGTTTAATATCACAAGATTGTTCTTTAAGAGAGGGAACGAACCAATGTTTGCATAAAACAAGAGACTATTTTTATATTTTTATATATAGAAGAAGCAAGAGAAACCCCTCCTTCCCTCATCCTCTTTCTTCCTTTCATATTTCCCCCAAACCAAATAAAACTTTTCATAACAAACTTCTACAAAAGCCAACCGAAAGCGACGTTTAGCTCCATTTATTATTATTATTATTATTTTTTTATCATTTTCTCCTTAAAAACTGAAAACGAAACCTTGTTGACTAAGGTTATACAAATTCCCAATCGCTCTCACACACACTCACAACAAACACTCCTCCACTACCATTCTCATTTCTCACCACTCACACCATTTCCACTTCAAAAGAAGAAAACAAAATTAAAACTGAAAAAACCCTTTCATTTCTCTCCCTTTTTAGGTTTTCTCTCCCTAAAACTCTCCCTCTCGTAGCAACAATGCAGCAAAGAAGCAACGATCAACCTCACAAGGTATACTTCTCCGCTGCAATTTCCGATCATTTTCTGTTTTTTTGTGTTAATGTTTGTTTTCATTCGCTTCAGAGATGATTCCTTATTTCATTTTCTCTTACTCTGTTTGGATTTCGCTTTGTTACTAATATTTTTCTTCTGCTTTTTCGTGATAATCGGAGAATGTGGTGGTGGTTTCTATTAGGATGTGGTTGTAGAGAGTAGAGATTTCTAAAATTGTTAGATTCTGATCGTAATTGTTGTTGCATGCAATTTATAAATATACTCAACAATTAGTTGATTAGTTGATAAGGTGTTAGATATAACAATGACTAGTTGTATATTCTTAATGGAGTTGTTATTAGAAGATTTGAACGCTTCACATTGAATGATGCAGAGTTATTGTTGAACTTGCTAACACAAAAGCTGGTTCTTAACTCATAATCAAGGTTTAAAAAAATGACTGCACCGATTAAAGGATTTCCCAATTTCGGTCTACACAGGTGTTGCATGTGAATTAACCATAATTTGTTCTTTATCATAAGAACTTTGAATATAAGTATTGATATCGACACCTTCTGATACTGTTCTGTTGCAGTCGTTTTCTTATTTACTAAGTGAAAATCAATTTCAATGGTTTTTTTTCCCTTTCATGTAAAAGTAAATTTGAAGCTCTGTCTGATGTTTTATGGTTATCACTTATGAACTTTGCTGGTTATGGTTTGTAGATGCTTACATTGATCTCATAGTTGTTTTCTTTTTTCAAAACTTAGTGTCCACGCTTAGCTTGAAATAATTGCTCTTTTTAAGCAGCTTCTTCAGAGAAATTCTGAAATTGCAACTATTCAATTTAGGAATTATATGTGTTTACAAGTAAAATGACCACTTAAGAGCTTATCCGATTAGTATTTGGCATTTGCATAACCATAAATCTCTATCCGTAGCTTATATTTATGCAGTAAGACTTCTATTGGGGCTGATTAACTGAATGTTTTGTTCACATCAAGTAAGGATGTTTAGTGGTCATATGAGAATGCGAGATAATTCAACTTTCTAAGTTTCAACTAACTTTTATTTACTCCCAATATTTGGTATGAGGCCCTGAGCTCCTCGCATCTCGAAAGAAGCTTGACTTTTGGATTTATTGGCTTGAACTTCCTCTGAAATGTTGAAGGCTTGAAGCCATAATATTCATTGGAGATATAAAAGCCGTACCTATACAATGCCATCTGCATGCGAAAATTCCTTGCTTACACTCGAATGCTACACAAATTAATTTCTGCAGCTTAAAGAATGAGTGGTTTGAATATTTTGTATAAATATTTCATGATGAAAACTTTGGTTTTCTTGATAGTTAATGTTTATGTGTTCAATATTCCTTGCAGGTTGAACCCTGTGATATCTGTGGTGATGTTGGTTTTGCTGAATTATGTGTCACTTGCACTAAATGCAATGTATTTCGGGAACATATGTAATAATCTCCCTTTTCCTATGATCTTATAGTCTTTCCTTTGCTGACTTTTTTCATATTCTTTCTTTTTTCTCACTTTGATTCTTCTAGATAAATTACTCATTTTAATTTATTGCATTAAATAAACTTCATAAATACAACGGAATCTGAACATGTTCTTGTATATCTCACAAATAACTGCCACAAGTATATTCATCCAAGGGCATTAGTGTCTAAATACCTAAACCGTAGGATTTGATCACAATGGACATCCTAGGACTATCTATTGAAACTGCGGATTAAAGATTAAAAGGAAAGAATCAATAATACCTACAATTACAATCAAGACTTCCCCTCAAACAAGAGCATATACGATAGATGCATGTACTTCAATAAAGATATACTATCTAATGACCCTGCAAGGACCTAGTGTACATGTCTACTTCCCGATCCTTGAAATTCAGGAAAGAAGTCTTGATGATGCTCAAAAGGACATTTTCTTTGACAAAATGACAATCAACTTTTATGTGTTAAATCATAGTGAGATAATTTAGCTTTCCCACTAATCTTCTATATCCACGTAAGTGAGATTAGGGTCAAGCACAACTAAGACAATGTAGAAAAATGATGGAAAATGTGAAGCTTGACCACTACTAGTGCTATGTACCATGGTCATTAGCAAGAGCGATGCAGTGAGATGTTTTAGGAGATAGAAATTTAAAGAGAAGGTAGGAATTACTAGGATTCCAGTAGGCAGGACTTCAAGTCAGGGTCACTTATCTGATGTGTTGTCAAGCTATGAACTGACTTATACAGCCTCTATATATTACTTGATCAAACCATCCGTGCTCTCTTAGAAATGTTATAACAAGTCTCATAGGGACAAAAATGCACCATCAACTTAAGTTCAATACGCTAGCATGATAAGGGTAAAAGTTAATGATTGACCCCTTCTCCGATCTGGACCGTGATGGATTGACAACTAGCAAGTGTGAACCAATCTTTAGCATTGGCGCAATGAGAGAAGCCCCATCAATCTCTTTTGCAATGGTTGTCATAAATTGAAACGATGGAGGAGTGATAGGGTGGCTTGGTTGGTTTGCGAAGAATATAAGAGTTGGAGTAGTAAGGAAAGTCGTGAGTTCTACTCCCTTATAATTGTCATTTAAAAAAAAATTGAAATGATGGATGAGTCGAAAAAAATGCTAGGGATCAACCATGAGACCTGAAGTCCCAAATTGAAAAAAAATACTTCACGAGAGCTGAAGTTATCTTGAATTTTGTTGTATATCTCAAATAATCGTACACACACACACATACAAGACAGCAGGATCTAAATTTGTAAACTTAAGGAGTTGAAATCAATGACAGCCAAGATTATATGTAGAAACTGTGGAATACAATTTAATAATGAAAGGAAAGAATCAATAATAATTTCTACTACCATCTACACATACAAACATTTTTGGCAACTGATATATGTTGCCAATTGTCTATTTGAATTTATATCCTTTTTCGGGAAACCGTGAGCATTCAATTCTGAGGGCTTCTTTGATTCTAAACCTTATATGATACATGCATTCTACTATCAAATACATTAGACCTTTTATTAGCTAGTAGGCTTTAAGGAATGATAAAACAAAAATACTTGTCCGCAATCTAACTTCAGCACATACTATTACAATACATATTTTCTTCTAATCTTACAAAGGACTGGTTCTGACTTCTGACCAATGGTTTTACTATATCCCTTTGCTGTACTGCTGCTGTGTATAAATTTGTTCTGATTCCATGCAATTTCTGTCCCATTTCAGTTACTGCATGCGAAAGAATCTCATTGAAATTCCAGATTACTGGTTTTGTGAAACATGCCAATCCAAAAACGGTACAACTTCATCATGTGAAGTGAAACAGGATATTGGCTTGCAGGTTTCCACACGGAAGCAATCTTTTAGAACAGGATCAACAGGGAAAGTGAAGTACCTTCACGAGGATGAAGTCATCAAACTTTCTAGCTGTAATATTTCTATGAAATCCACTCCAGGTCGCTCTACTTTACCGATGACCAAGAAGGCTAGTTCTACTTTGCCGATTACTAGAAGGGAACATGCAGCATCCAAAAGTGTTATTCCGAAGAGTCCCTCCCTCACTGTGAAACCAAATCCTAACATAGCACCTATGGCACATGGAAAGTTTCCAAGAAATGGAGTTCAGAAAAATCCAATGAATGATCAACATGCTTCATCATCGAAAGGTGATAATTTTTCCACTTCCTTGCTGCAATCCTTATTCCTTCAAACAAAACAAAACATATATATATATATATAATTTTTCACACACACACACACACACACACACATACGTACGTATACACATACGTACATATACACATACGTATATATGTACATATACGCATACGTATACACATATACGCATATGTATATATATATATATATACGTATATATGTATGTATATATATATATATATACGTATATATATATATATATATATATATATATATATATATGTATGTATATATATATATATATACGTATATATATTTATTTGCATGTTTTCCATGAATATGATACTTGTTTTGGATTTCTATTTGAAAATTTTCATAATGTAGGACCAACAAAGGAGAATAGATCCGTATCTGAGTGGCGAATGAGTACACCAGTGCCCGATAGAAAAGTTCAACCTCGTCAGATAGAAAAGCCTACACGAAGGGAGCCTTGTAAAGATTTATCTGCTACTAAATCTTTACCTGTTGCTGCTTCAGGTAGGATACTTTTCTAGCTATAATGGTTCTTCTAGTTGTGTGTTTCTCTCTTATATTGGTTTTTATATTTACTTAAGTAACATCTCAATATGCATATAGAAAAGTATATTGGTTTGTATTGTGAATTGTGATATTATGTCACTTGAGCCTGTTGGATTTGAACCAATCATCTCTTATCTTATTATTTTCCCTTTTGCTTTCTGTTTTCTCTTTAGATGTTGTTGCTGAGTGTAACGGATTTAACCGGGAAGAGAGCAAGATTCAGAGTATTCATGAAAACTTAATTCATGACCGTAAATATTTTCCCTCTTCAATTCGTGCTTGGAGGTGTGTACTTTTATTTCTTTTTCATAAACTTCTTCTTTCTTAAATTGCCTTTGCTGGATTCAATTGTTGCATTTGCTTAGAAATAATTTAGAATAGAAGATGTTATGTGTATGACTTGCAACTGCTAGTGTCAATCAATTTTGGAATTTATTGCAATTATTGTATGAGACCTGCAGATGCCATTGATTTTGTTCCATGAAATTTTTAATTTATTAACATGAAATTTCATACGACGACCATTTTGTAGTGGCCAATTCCAAATTCTTCAAGCATCTGCATCTGTTGAATTTTATGATGGGTTTGAAGCCAAACCTCCATGTGTTGTTAATAGGAAGGCATACAATCTTTCAAACAAAATTCCGTCAGTACTTAAACTGGAACCACTTTCTGCTTTGAATGTCTTGACTGATGTATTCCAGAATTATTCTCCCACTCTTCAAGATATCGCATTATATTTCTTTCCATCAGATAATCAAGAGAGGTCAGCTTTTGCTTCCTACGTTGATGCCCTTCCTGTTGTTGTTGTTTCTGCTAAGCTTTTATTTGTTGTTTAAGCTGCTTATACATCATGTTTTCAATTGATTATTGGTCCAGAAAGAGCTTAAACAGTCTATTGAAGTTTATGAATGATGAAAAATCAATGCTGAGAAGTTTAATCGATGGAGTAGAATTGTTGGTCTTTACATCACATCAGCTTAATGAGCATTCAAGGGGTACATATATTTACCAGTTGTCATACCAAGCATTTGTAATTGCTTTCTGTGTCTTCATGAAGATAACATAAATCAATCTCCCCAGGTACTATTGCTGCTGTGCATGAAGGATATTTTCTGTGGGGAGTTTTTCGCTCAAAAAAATCTGATACTTCTAACGAAAGATCACCTGTCATGGATCCCGTTGATATGGATATTGATATGATTGGAGGAAATGATATTGCGGGAAGAGTTGATAATGTTCTTAATGACAGTCTCAGAAGTCCCTCTCAGGTTCCTTTGGAAGGAACACCTCTTCAGAGCCCCGCATCTATAAAGGTAGAAGAAAAGACCTTAACCCCTTCAAGCAATTTGAATTTGAATGGCGGGGACAAATCAATTTCGTCTCAAGATCTTAAAAAGAAAATCAAATCTGAGCATTATTGGGACCCGTCATCCTGGAGGCCAGTAAGGAAGTATCGTAAAATGCATGACATACTTGAGAGGGTTCCACCAGGCTTCGAAGCTCACGGTAAGCATTTATTCTTTATGAAAATTCATTCATTGACCAAAAATCTGTTGTATATTGTTGAAGATCAGTGTCTGACAGTGCATGTTTTGTGGGATTTTCAGGACATTGTGCTGCGAAATCCTCAAATATCAAGAGACGAGATTACTTGTATTAGCATATATTCAGGTGTTAGTCTATAAACTATGGACAAAATTGTAGTTAGCTCTCTTATCTCTGCTCCTATCTGTGCATATGTTTAGTTTTTCCCTTTTTTGTAATGGGTGTTTAATTCTTCTATCTTTGATGGTTAATTTCTCACATGTGCAGTTGGGTTAGCAATCACAGAACTTATTTGAGAGTATTTCTAAACAGGTTGCATATAATAACAACTGTAACAGTTTTCGGAGCTTATCTTGGTAGCATGGTGAGTTTCTTATAATATATGCAACCTAAGAAAGTTTGGAAGATATGAAGAGTTTGTTCATTTTAACTAGGGATTTTGAGTTCAAACCTTGGAACATCATGTAGTCCTAATTAGATATCTAATTTATAAAAATATAATGGAAATTTGCATGCCAGTAAAAAACAATTTTCAATGCAGTAATCAATCAACTAGTGCAATATTATGCTTACTTGAGGGTTACTTCAAAATTACATCGCCGGAGTGAAATCCATGATATGCTTGAACATTAGTTGAGGTTCGAAATCCATGCTTGTTTGAACATAGTATATGTTCTTGTGGTTAATGGTTTGCTTGTAATTCAAAGTTGGTGATTAGTAAATTGTTACTAGAAATTGTTGGAATCGTTCTTCATAAAATATGATTCAATCTTTTTTGATTGATTCAAGATCCTCGTTCTTCACTTCAATGATTCAATTACACCTTAGTTGTAAAACGATTCCCGTGCACCAAGATTTGAAGAGGGGAGAAATGGAAGAGAAAAGAGAAGAGAGAGAAGATTAGTATTGGGAGAAGAGAAGAATGTATTGAATTAAAATTACAAATACAAAAATTATTTCTATTTATAATGAGATTACTTGCACATCAAGTAGTTTTTAAAATAACTCCCTTCGACTTATTACAACATGCATTTGACTTTCTAACTTCGACTTAATACAAATTGTATTCGACTACCTATCAAGTACACATAGCTTTAACTATTACTTGCTGTATTCGACTTACTGTCGGATACATGTAGATTCAACTGCTACTGACTAAGTTTAACTCTATCGAATGCATGTTGCTTTGACTAGGTCGAATTCTGTAGCTACACACACATGCTTAACACAACAAATTACATATTTTACACACCACCTAATTCATCGTGCCTAATCTATCTACATTCATCATAGTTCTCAATCTCTTAAACAATTTCACCTGCATAACCTTTGTCATGATGTCTGCAATCTGATTCTCAGTTCTGCAACATTTCAAGTTCAGTTTTCCATTTGATACATGCTCTATAAGATAATGGAATCTCCTCTTAATGTGTTTGCTTCTTCCATATACTATCGGGTTCTTGGCCAATTTGATAGCAGACATGTTATCAATCTTCATGATCATTACTCCATGATTTCCACTTGCAATCTCTTTGATCAAATTCATCATTCATGTTGCTTGACATGCACAGAGAGGTCGCTATGTACTCAGCCTTACATGACGACAAAGCTACAACTGGTTCTTTTCTTGAACTCAAAACAATTGGTGCACCACCTAGCATAAACACATAACCAACTGTGAATTTTTTATCCTCATCATCACCATACTAACTTGAGTCAATGTATCCCACTAGTTTACATTTCTTTCCTTCATTTGTTGCAGGAAACAAATGTCATAATCTAGTGTTCCTTTGAGATACCTTAGTATCTTCTTGATGACTGTAAATTGAGACACCTTTGTCTTTTGCTTGAACTTATTCACCATGCCTACATTGTATGCTAGTCCAGGCCTCGTGTGATAAAGGTATATTAATGACTCAATGAGTTGGATCGACTTCATCTTCATTTAGATCATTTGTCAATTGCAATATTCGTCCAGCTGGTGTCGAAGTTGCATTGCAATTCTCCATCTAAATCTTTTGAGTTTTTCACTTGCATATCTTCTTTGGTACAACATCAAGTCATTAATACTCTTGTAGAATTAAATACCAAGAAAATATGAGATGTTATCTAAGTCAAACATTTCAAATTCCTTACTCAAGCCAGATTTAAAGTCTTTGATCTCATTCTTGTAGTTGCCTAGTATCAACAGGTCATCTATATAGAGACAAAGTATGAGTAGTTCACTCCTTCTTCTTCTAACATATACATCATGCTCATTTGTGTAGTTTACAAACTGCTCCCTTAGAAAACCATCTATATTCTTATTCCAAGCTCTTGGAGGTGTGAATGCAACTTTCTGTTAGATGTATTTTGTATGATGCCAAAATTAGGATACTTTAGCGTTGATGTATATTGGACAATATCCTTTGATTCTCAATGTGAATCTTATCATTAGGAAGTATAAAATATTTTGAAAAGGTTCATGCATAAAAAATTCATGAAAAACAAGTTTTATGGGAAATATAACCTATGTGTCGACACATACATGTTTTAGGTCGACACGTAGAAGAAAATTTTTTTCTATGTGTCGACACATCCATTTATAAGGTCGGCATATGTACTGCATTTTTAAAGCTTGTAGGCTTTGTTAAATGTGTCGTCTCTACAGGTCGACACATAACATGTACAGGTCGACACATGACAAGTTCAGGTCGGCACATGACCTTTACAGACCAACTCATGACTTACACAGGTCGGCTCATGCAACGTACTTTCCAAAAATTCGCAATTTTTTAAATTCTTTTGCATTCCTTTTTCTTTAAAATATACATACATATAAATAATTCACACATGCATCATTTCTAGCAAGGTTCTAGAGTAAACCAACATGAAATTGGGATTTCAAAGTAGTCTCATTATCTTCAACCTCATTCTATGCATACACACAAATAAGCTACACATAATCATTCTTTGTTTGGGTGCCATCTAAAATTAGGGTTGATAACGTCCAATTTAGGTTGATTGAATTGTAAATTGGGTTAAGATCTTTGAGGGTTTTAAATAAGAAAACTAAGTTGCGATTTTCCTTCAACATCGATTTGGGATTTGAAGGCTTTGAATAAGATTACCTAATTTGGATCCGATCGAGTGAAGACTTTGAAGAACGTGAGGTTCTTGCAAAGGAGTAGTGTGGGACGGTGGACCATATTGATAAATCTTGGATTACAACAATTCGCGGTTTGGATTTGATTGAGTGAAAGCTTTGAAGAACAATGAGTTTCTTGCAAAGAAGTAGCGTGAGACGGTGAATAAAATTGACATTGTTGGATTACTTGATCAAGTTTTGATCAAGGGAAGAGAAGATGCCAGAATCAACATCAAACTTAGGGTTTGTAGGGTTGGATTGCTACATCTCTCTTGTATACATATTTTTGCAAAGTAAGGTTAATTTCATTATCTTAATTTGAGTTTGAACTGAGGGCAGATGTACCCATAGTGAGGTTGGTTGGGGAATTTCCTAAACAAATCCTCATGCACTCTTTCTCCCTCTAATTCTCTTTTATTTTTCGTTAGCAAATTGTTGAATTCATTGATCGTGCGATTAATTCGTTTGATAAATATTATTTATTTATTTTTGAAATAAGTATTGTTGAGTTAATCAAAATCTTTTAGATTGTGATTGGATTTTAAGATCAACAAAACAACAAAAAATTTCAAACAATATCGATTGCACATAAGGTGTTCGATAATTTGCCTCAATAGATTTTCCGTGTGTTTTGATAATTGGGAATAACTTTACTTATAACTTAGCATTCAATTGGTTATGGTTAATAGCCTTTGATCAATTTGTGTTCATTATCATATGTTGATTGCATTAACGCATATACGAGCTTTTTGATAGTGGTTCAGTTAGACGATTCGATTCGGCTTACTTCCGCTTGCCATAAACTTATCAAAATAACTTTTGTTCAAAGTTTTTAACTAGTGATCTATTCACCCCTTAAGATCGAGTCCTATTGTCTAACAAGTGGTATCACGATTCCTAGTTAATTTCGTGCTCAATATTTTCTTATTAGAATATGGCTACCGAACCTAAGGGAGCGTACAATAGAGCACCAATTTTCACCGAAAAAATTAAGGCTATTAGAAAGCTTGTATGATAAGGGTGTATAAGACGTTATCATAAATGGTCCTAATGTAATTACAATAACTAATGATGAAGGTTTCGTCGTACCAAAATCGAAAAATCAATGAAATGATAATGATAAGAAATTGTGGTCACATGATTGGAACATAAAATATTCTCATATCTGCACTTGGTGTTGATGAATATTGTTAGTTCTTGATTGACAGGCATTTTGGTAAAATTAGGTGTAATCACAAGATGTCCTACAGGAGGTCGTAACATCTGTCAGCATCAGCAGGTTGCTTTGGAATTTTTAACATGACTTATCTCATGATGTCAAATAAGATGTCTTGAAACTCATGGACAAGACATTCTGTATGAATATATTTGTTTGTCCATTTCTTTATGTGCAAGTCTGCTGCACTATTCTGGTGTAGAATCTGCGTGTTTTTAGTGGTGTTCTAAAAGCACTTCTGATACACTTATTGTGGATCATATTTGATTTGATATGGAGTTATTCTCAGAAGATTGGCCGAAGATTGGAAGAATGATTTGATTAGATCTGATTGATCAAATCAAATCTGTTTTATTATTGCTATTGATGAAGATTGAAATCTTCTCAAAACCTGCTGTTACTTTTGCCACAGCCCAAGCCCATTCTGCATTGCTATTTAAAGAGGCTTAAATCCTAGCTTGAAGAATAGAGAAGCAAAGATTAAAAGTGTGTGCATCTTAAGCCTTCGTGTGTGTTAGTTTTGTGAGCCATTCACTCATTGTTTAATGTGTGAATTGGACTAAGTTGTTAATTGTAAATTGTTCACTCAAAGCTTGTAAGTAAGAGTGTATTGTACTTGATTGAAGTTTTTAAGCAAGATCAAATTGTGACTTTGAAGAGTGTCTTCTAAAGTCTTCTTATTTTATTGACTGTTATCACTGCTGTGATTGAGGGGGAGTGAGAGGTGTCTCTTGTCTAGGTGTGTTCTAGGAAGAAGTTGCATAGGTAGAGA